ACCAGGGATTTTGCAGCTTGCTCAAGGCTACCCAGGCTGGCTCTTCTCTCCTGAGGCACAGAGGGGAATTGAGCTCCCATACTCTGGCTCTGTAGCCAGGTACCTAAACCACCGAGCAACCCAGCCAGCCCCAAATAGGATATTAAGCTTTAAAAGCAAAAAGTGTGCTGCTTATATACTGCTCCATAGTGCTTAAAGCTCTCTCTGGGCAGTTTTACAATATAATGATGCAGCATATACATTGCCTGCACCGACGGCAAACTGGCCCCTCTGAAGGATGGAAGGTTGAGCCCGCCTTGAGCCAGCCGGCGACCTGGGTCCAGGATTGAATCCAAGGGATGAGCAGAATCTTCACTGCAGTACTGCAGTTTTAACCACTGCGTCACAAGGCTCGTTCAGCGTTACATGGGCGTGTGTCACGAGGACCACAATGAAGGAGGGCTGTTGTTGTTTTTTAATGGAGGGGATACGGCTGCATCGTACACCGACCTTGAAGCACCCAGAGCAGACGGGCTGCCATCTTCAGTCAGGCGCGACTTTAATCAAGAGCCCCAAATTAGACGGACGCAATTTTCCATCTGCATCCCTGCCAGTCAGCCGATCGGTTGCCAAGGGAACCACCTGTGACCCTCTTTTTTTCCTGTCACGTCCCATAAGATCCCTGCCAGCCTCCTTCGGGCTAGCTGGCCACCCTACATGTCCCTGAGCTGGCTGACAGGACAGGGAGCCGTGCGGATGGGTCTCGAGATCAATATGCACGGCCGGCTTTCGCCGCGACGCAGCTCGGGCGCACGGAACGAACAAGGCGGAGGGGAACCGTCGCCCCCTACGAAGCAGGACTGTCAAGAGAATGAAGAGGGGAAAGGCGGTCACGGATCGCTGTCATTTTCTCTGCCATTTTTTGCACAATTCCCTTGTGCCTGGCCTTTTTGAAGTCAGAAATGCAACATGACAGTTCAGGGAGGAAGAAAACGCTCAAGGCGATGGCAGGAGGAGGGCTGTCTGGAAAGAGGGGCCACCTTCTATTCCCCCTGCCTTTCCAGGCCACCCTCCTTCCTTCCTACTTGCCCGGATGCTGTAAAGTTAGGGAGAAGAGTTCACAGGGCAGAGCTCAGATGACAGGGAACGCTTTTAAACCAAGGGCACCAGCTAATGGCCTGTTTCTACCAAGTGCCTGGAAAGAAAGGGCACCAGCCGACTGCCCGGATGCCACGGTCGGTATATTTTTAGCAACTCGTTTTGAGTCCTTGGGCAGCAGCCCTTTCGCACAAGAATGCATGGAGGAGGTTTGATGCAAAACTAGCCTGTTGTTGTTACGGGCGGTCGAGGTGCCCTCGACTTGCCTTGACCACACTTAACAAAATCTCCAAAATCTGTCCTTGACAGCCCTATTCAGCTTCTGTAAAGTGGACCCTGTGATTTCCTTTAGAGGAGTCCATCCATCTCGTATCGGGCTTTCCTCTTTTCCTGCTGCCTTCCGACTTCCCCAGCGTGATCGTCTCTTCCGGAGAATCCTGCTTTCTCGGGATGTGCCCGAAGTAGGATAGCCTCAGCTTCACCATTTTGGCTTCTAGGAACCGTTCAAACTTGATTTGACCTCGGGACCCCCTGGGTCGCCTTCTCGCTATTGTTAAAATCCTTTCAACATATCAAGTATTTTGTGTTTTTTTGTCCTATCTATAGGTCACATGTTCCACCCAAGACTTCAAGTTCGTGACTCAAATCATGCACCTCTTTTGTCCTCAAAACCACCGTGCGTGATAGATATAAGTTAGATTAAAGTGGTAAGCTCTGAGTGTGGCCAAATCTGGAAGACTGCTAGGTTGGGAGGTCTGTGGTGCCAAGCAGGGGTTATAGTCATCATCATAACAGACTCTCCCTGGACTCCCCCACCTTGAGAGTGCAGAGTTGTGTGGCTAAGTGGCTATGGAAAGGAACCGTGACATTTATTAATTGGATTGTGATGCTCCTGACACAAAGACAGAAAGACGGCCACCATCCCAGTCTTTTTACATTTCTATTGTATTTTGCGTTCCCTTGATTTCCAAATGGGCATAAATGTCTGCCTACTGAGGCCACGTAATTGAAAAATCAGGCTACAGGAAACGAAAGCTTACGCCAAGCAAAACATGTTCATCATTAAGCTGCCACAAGGCTTTATGTAGCTTTTGTTCCAGGAAGACATTTGCCTGTTGGCCTGATTAGATTCCACTCCGCTAATTAGCACTTCAGCAAAGAAATTTCAAGAACGTCTATGTGAATTATAAAGGCCACAAAGAAGCATCAAGAGCATACAGCGTGCAGAGGTGGCTAAGTGTGTTGGAAGATAACAGCA